AGTTCATATCGCGACTCGGGTGCAGTCAGGATATCAAATTGTGGCTTGCGACACGACATGACAGCTGAGCCGGCACTGGCACTATGCATGTTTTTCGCTCCCTTCGTCTCTCACCATGTTGGCAGAAATATCTCCTTCTTTTATATGGATGAGTGGTACAATTACTATTGGAGCCGTTTTGCTTCATAATTACTGGCGGTATCGGCAAGACTTGCGAGCAATTGGAAATACCCCCGGTATACGGAGTGTTATTTCCCCGGTAAGGCCTACCATGGCCATTTTACCTAGCGGAAAGTTTCCATTTTCAGATTGGTTTTTCTCAATCGGGCCTCAGTATTGGTCTTACGAGAAGCATAATGGTGAGTAGCTGCTTCCAGAGGCAGGTCGATACCCTAACACAATTCTAGCATTTGTAAAAGCTGGACAAGATATAATATCTTCGGTTAGCCAATCATTTCGTATTTTTGCGTCGAATTCATGGTGGCGTTTGTTAGGTGGCGCTGGACTATATGGATGTAGGAATTATGGTCGCCGACGCTGAAGCTGCACAGGTATGAAAGGCTCGTTTCGTCATCAGTGGAGCTCAAATAGTCCCAGGAAGTGCTCGGAAATCGCTATAGATTCTATAAGCCGATTGACATTTACGTGGTGCTGGATCTCTTTGGACGAAATGTACTCACCACCGAATTCGATGATTGGAGGACACACCGTAGAATAGCATCACCTGCATTCTCTGAGGTACATTATTTGTCGTACGAAGGCTCTTTTCTTGATCTTAACGTGTCCCCCAGAACAACAATCGGCTTGTATGCCAGGAAGCAGCCTTTACCATTCAAGAATTGTTCAATATGTGGGGTGACCAAAAATCGGTGACTTTTAATAATGTGACAGATCTCTTCGTTCAGGTAATTTGGTCAATTGCTATGTATCATTGAAATCTGTCACTAAATTTACCTTTTGTATGAAGATCACCTTGATTATCATTTGTTCAGCAGGTAGATACATCGCCTGTGTAACAAAAACAAGTTTTTATAACCCAAAATCCAGGATTCGGTATGCATGTACCTTGGAAAGACGCAACAAAGCCGCTTGGACATGAACTGGTCAGTTCCACCTATATCTAATGGACAAATTTCTCATGATAGATTAGAGCTTCAAGGAGACTATGGAGATCGTATCAAGTGACCTATTTGTGAAGCTGGCAGTCCCAGAGGCTCTTATGGGTGCAACAAAACGCACGGCCCGCGTTCAATTGGCATTTGAGGAACTTACGGTGTGCCAAATTGATACAGATAACTAATTCTGTCTTGTCTTATGAACTCTATGAACAGCATTTCATGCAGGAGATGATAAAGGAAAGAGCCAAGAGCTACAATGATCATAGCGATCTTTTTAGCAATCTTATGGCTGCCAATGCAAAAGACAACGACGGGCTCCGCTTGACCGACCAAGAAGTGATCGGAAATATATTCATATTTCTAATTGGTCAGCAATGTTCAATTGTTCTCCGTCATTCTGGCTCAACGAAATCTCATCAGCTGGACACGAAACGACCGCTCACTCTCTAAGTTTCACAATGGGTTTACTTGCCATGTACCCTGAGATCCAAGACAAGCTTTATAATCACATTGTAGAAAATGTCTCTGATTCATCCGGAGCC